AACCAAAGTTTTCATCTGATGTAAAATGTATAGAAATCCATTATTGTATTCAGTAAATATTAAGTCCAGTATATATCCTAGTAAGTTATAGTATTCTTTCCTTTGTTAAGGTACCATCTGTGCAGGCTGCGATTCTGCTGAAGAAAGATGTTGAATGAATTTAATTACTGGAGAAAAATAATAGATTTCTGTGCATTTGTTTTATACGTGCATTAAGTTAAAATCGGTTTTATCAGTTAAGCATCTTGCTGGGAGTTGGCAACCCTATTAGTTATAGGTATATGTAATTATAAATTAGGTTGTTTTATATTTTTGCTAAGTACTGTTTAGAATAGCAGAATCGTGAGGATAGTGAGGTTTAAGTTTATTAAAAAGGCTTTATGGCTTTAATACCACGGAGGGCCGGTCACTGGTCAAAATGCCCGGGCTGATTATTTTGTCCCAGTCCAGCCCTGCCCACTCATGTATTGACCCATGTGCCTGTTAAACTAGTCCTTATATATATTGGATATTGGGAGCCTTTTGTTTAAAGACATTTATCACTCAGATCACTCAAAGTTGTGGAGTGGAGGAAAAACATTCTGGCACAAGATCTGTAGTTAAGTCGTCCATATTTATGTCGCCGAACTATTTGGTGACCACTGAAATTGAGACCTCCTGTTTAGACTGTGGGAACTGTTGACAGGAAACCAAATTAACCAACATTTCAGCTCCTCACTGTGAAATAAACAGTTTCTGGGATGCCATGCAAACAACTCCTTCTGTAAAATATTAAAGAAATGAAGCAGCTACGGGAATGAAAGTCCACCTAACACTGTAGTGCAGGTGTATTAATTTACATGATTTTTGTGCTTTTGAGTGCCTTTAGTTCATCCATTGATACCAAAAAACAAATCTTCAATACCAGTGTGTCACCCTCTGACAACTAAGCCGACTTTGATGCAGCTGAAAATCAAGTTTATTACACTCTGCCTTCTCACAGTAATGCAATACTATTACTTACACTGACTTTGTGTGTGTGTGTGTGTGTGTGTGTGTGTGTGTGTGTGTGTGTGTGTGTGTGTGTGTGTGTGTGTGTGTGTTTAAAGGGGTACACTATAGTTGAGGCCTACAGGGGAGAATGCTGAACCTTAGATGGCTTGACCTTATTTTAGATAGTCATGGTAGCGTTTTCTGAGCCACAAAATTGCTTGGCATCACTTACGTTAAATATCAAATTATAGGTCTTCAAACCTCAAACCAGTTATACCTTAGGTGCAGGAGCAGGTGTCACGATACCCTTCTTCAAGACATTGGTTGTTTCAGTGGATTTCTCACCTGCCACACAGGAAGCCTGGTTTCGATTCCCAGCCGGTGCAGGAGCTTTTTTTTTTTTTTTTTTTTTGAAAAACATCAGTTACCAACACAATATGTGCAGATATGAACACTTTACAGCTGACTGTAATGTTCTGGAAACTTGTACACATCTCAGGTCCCCACTGGTTTATGAAGTGCTGGGGCTAACTGTGCCCGTGTGCTGGGAAGGTAACGGAAAGTAACTTCCTGCTGCAGTAATACCGGGCTAGCTCATTTTTCTTTTTAATAGTGTAATTTTATTCAACTTCAGATTCAGAAACGATATGAATTTGGCCAACAGTAGAGATTTTGACTATCCGGTCTTTAAGTGATGACGTGATAAATTTTGCTTCCACGTCCAAACTACTCTGCATTTATTAAGGCTACTGTTTGGTCCGTTTACAGCATCCTGCCATGCGATTGCATTTGTCTCTAACCATCAGGAACCCTCACGTTAACTTTTATCAGTGGAAAAAAAGTTAGCTTGTTTATATTATGCTAACATAGCTGTGTAGCTAGCGGTCACGTAGCATATCCTTAGCTACAACTAGCCAACTTCAGTAACCCTACAAACGTCACTGCTGTTTAGTTTACTGTCTTCATTTATGTTGGAAGTGATAGCAGAGCCGTACGTTTGAATTTTTCAGAAATCTCTCAGTCAGAACATGCTATATCATCTTTAGGTGGAAGCTAGCGAGCTAACTTCCTGCTAACTTCTAACTCCGTTAAATTTCATAAATTGTGTTTTCATGGATGCCTGGATGTTAAACTTAATTGTTACACCTGGTAAAGCAGCAACGCTGATCATTTTATTACAGGTGAAAGGATTTAGACATTTTTTAACTCTCAGTGATGCTGGTGTTTGTTTGACATTGGGACCTGCAGCAGAGTTTGGGCCCAGAGATGGCTAATAAGGTCAGACTTAAAGACCGAATACTGCTGTACCGCGATAGTGCATGTTGATGATGTCATCAAGCTGCGCCTGTTTTGGTCAAAAGCATCGCAGTGGCTGCAAGCATGGAGCTTACACGTGGGGAGGAGGAGGTGCTCATAAAGAAGACCGGCGCGACGTCGGTCACATGCACCTGGTTTGGGTTTAAGCAGTCGGGTGTTAAGCAGAAAAATATCATCTGCAAATTATGCCGGGCGACAGTAATAGTGAAGAGACGAAGCACGTTTTGGAATATGAGGAAAACCCTGCACTCTCCACAAACGCCCAGTCAGTCAAGTGGAAAGAAAAAAGAGGCCCTACACACCAGCAGACTGATCTTTTCCAAAGGCACAGTTTGCACTTTATTTTAAACAACTTAGAATTTAGTGTTTTACTGATATTTAACTTTTTTATTCAAAAATTGTTGTGCATTTATCTTCATTTTTATTTGTAATGTAAGAACTTTGTGTTACAGTTTTTGGAAAAAGATCTGTTACATCGTAAAAATTATTTGAAAAGTTTTGTAATTTAAAAAATAAAAAAAACCTTTTGCACAATATATGTTCTTAAAACGGCATGCTATACTGTTCAGTCATTCTGACACACACACACACACACATACATATATATATATATATATGAAAATAATATATCGCAATATATATCATTGCTGCATATGCTTTGAATTACACTGCAATATGGATTTTAAGCCATATCGCCCAGCCCTATCTCCACCCATCACACCTGAGGATGATGTTAATAAAACCTGAACCAAACAACGCATGATGGGATAACATATGACAACATGTGTCCAGTAAATTGACCTTTTTCCTGAAACTCATTGAGCTCCTTGGACACAAATCTTTGGCGACTGCATTTGAGGT